TGACATCCGTTCTCACATTCCTGCATGTTTGGGTGCCATGGTGTTTCATGACATCCATTGGGACACTCAAAGTAGTATCCACGATCCTGAGTTCCTATCGGAGTTCCTTCTAGATGCCATTGCAACCATGCATCATCACTCACCTCATCACAGTCCTGAAACTCATCATCTTCATCACCAATCCAAAACTCTTCTGTCTCACTCCTCTCTTCCTGAACTTCTTCACCAACAACCCGCAAAACTCTTCCGAAGTACTCAATCTCTATCTCTTCAGAGTTCTCACTCAGTGCGAATTCCTCCGGAAAGCTTGTGGGCTCGTCTCCCATGTGGTACATGGAGACCATCCTAATCACTGGTCTTTGGGTTCCTTGGCTTGCTTGGCTTGTTGAGGTCTTGTTGGCTGACGAAGGGGCCTGAGTAGAAGTACCTGTAGTGCTCGCTTGCTCGCTCTGGTTTTCAAGGTCAACGTTCCTGGCCTGATAACCCATGTCACGCATTTTCTGTCTACACTGTGCTTCGAAATGTCCATACTTGTGACAGTAGTGACAAACTCCTGTAGCTGCTTGGGCTTTGCCTTTACCTTTTCCTTTGTGTCTGAAGAAACCTCTTCCTCGACCTTTGCCTTTTCCTTTGTAACCTCTGAAACCTCTACCTCGGCCTTTCCAGTTGCCTCGACCTCTGCCTTTGCCAAAACCTCCGAAACCTTTACCTTTACCTTTGCCTTTGCTGTCAAAGCCGAAACCTTTTCCGAAGTCCTTTCCACCTTTCTTGCCTTTTCCTTTACCTTTGCCTTTATGGTGAACATAACCTTTGCCATAGCCTTTCTTTCCTTTGTACCATGCTTGGTTGATATCCATTGCTGCAAGACCACCATGGTCATCACCTTTGTCGATCAAGTCTGTTGTGGTTCGGTGAGGTGTTCCTTGCTGGGCTGCAAAGAGTTAGTCCAACGCTCGGTTGACTCATAGTTCACAAGGTACTGACGAAGAGTATTGTACTGTGTCTTCTCATCCATGTTGAGCAACAAGTGCCTTTTCACGTCAGGTTTCATACCTTGAATAAGAGTAGATACTTTCAAATTCTCCTGTACCTTTTCTCCAGTAGCCTTCTCGTACTTCTCGATGTGTTCCTCATATTCGAGGATATTCTCAGCAATTCCTTTGTTGTGAGCGAATTTGTAGTTGAGAATGTTGTGAAACAACTCCAACGATCTCGCACGATTCGTTGGCTGATATTCCTTGAGTAGCATACGGTAAGCTTCCATACCGTTCTCCTCAGCTACATGCTTTACAACTCGGTACGGCCTTCCTTTAGTGTACGAACAAAGAACACTGTACAGGCGTCTGCTGGTTTCCTTTGCTTCTGTAGACATCTCGGCCATCTTCACTTGCTTATCATCTTTTAGGTTCCTTTCTGCGATGTCCATGATCTTCACCATGTTGGAATCCACTGCTCCAAGCCAGATCCGCATCCTGTTCCTGAACTCTGTCCATCCACTCTTCTCTTCTTGCCATGTTCCTGGGGAAAATGCTTCGGGGCTTTTAATCAGCTTGTGCAACTCCACTTCTCCAGGCTTTCTTTGTTCCTTTACTGCTTTCTCCAGGGATGCTCCTATCTCCTCAAGTGTCGTTGCTGCGTTTGTGTGAGCGTCTGCCAACGCTGTTTGCGCTGTCTTCTGCTGTTCCTGAACTGCTGTCAGGGTTTCCTGGAATGCTTGTGTAAGTCCTGCTTCTCTCTGACTTCCTGAAGCTGCTGAGTTCCTGATCTCCTCTGCTAGTGTTTGTATTCCTTGTAAGGTCTGTGCATTGATCTCGGCAAGTGCCTTCAATGCATCCTCCATTCCTTTTGCTGTTTCAAGGTTGCTGTACACTAGTGCTGCTAAAAGTAGCGACTTGCACTGTTTCCTGCACACTGCTTGTGCTCTCCTTTCTCCTCTTGTCTTCCTTTGGTGCTTTGAGCGGTTGCTTGCTCTTGCGAAAAACACACTAGAATAGTACGACAGGGTGATCCAAGTAATCAGTCCCATTGGGGTTCCTAAGAACACTGCTATGCGAATTCCTTGAAATACAACTCTGTTGGAAATGACTTCCTGAACTATCACATGCACGACGTCGTGAAACTTCTTTCCTACGGTTGCTAGCTTTTCTACGAAACTGTGAACATGTTCCTGTACAACTTTCCTCAGTACTTCTCGCTGTTGTTTTACTAGGTACCTAGGGGCGTAGCCTGACTCAAGGCTCTCACTCTCCTGGTTCTCGGTGTTCTGGTTGCCGTTCCTGTTCTCTTCCGTGTAGTACTCGCCGGTCACGCTAACGACGCTGTAGAGCTCGTTCATCACTTGGTTCATGCACAACAAAGCGTACGGTACCATGACTTTTCCTATCTCCACATAGTCCTTAATCGTGTACGCGTTCGTGTTCCTGATCGTGTTCACGTTGGTGCCGTCGGGGTTCACGCTGCACTCGTTGTAGCCTTGCTGGTAGTACTCGCCGTACACGTCGTAGTTCCTGTAGCGGTTCCGGTGCGTATTGGGCTTCCTTCTGCTCGACCACACTACCATGAGCTCGCTCTCGTCACTCTCCACGTAAGTGAGTTCCTTTCTCCCACGGCTCACATCCTTGGAGGGTAAGGCGTCTCCAAGGGCAAGTTCTTCCTTGGTCTCCACGTTGTTGCCAAGGGCCTGCCACGGTCTCACCGCTATACTTCCTGCTCCTGGGACCAAGATCATCCCGCACAAAGTTGCGAGGCTTCCCAGTGCGAAACCAACCAGCAGCACCATACATGCTGCCAAACCGTAGCACTTCATGTTCCTTTTCTCTCTCTCTTCCACCAACACTCGGTCGGGGTAGCAATCGCTGCAAGCGTCAAAGTCTCGCGCGTTTCCTGCTGTCACGTTGTGGTTGCGAAGGTGTCCACAACCTCTGCGGTGGTACTTTGTTCCTGAACGGACTGCGATCCTGAGCGTGGGCATGTTGAGCACTGTCTCTGTCTTCTTGGTGATCTGCTCATTTGCGCGCATCTGCTTCCATCCGGCAACGAGGCAAACTGCCATGGCGCCGAGCATCATGGTTCCTATGGCTACGAGTAGCATCATCGCTGCCAAGGAGGTTCCTGGAGGCAGCTCCGCTACCATGTTAAAGAACGGGCTTCACTAAGGGTTCCTACCCACAAAGACTGTCGGACACTTTTGTTCCTGGGCACGGTGTGTCCTGGGGTCTTGAGCCTGCACGTCGCGTGTGCGTGACGGCTGTTCCTGTACATTAACTGTACTGCACTAGCTGTGTTACTGTTCCTGGCAGAATGTTTAACAAACACGGTCAAGTAAAACTTTCTTTCGGACGCAGCGAGAGAGAGTCTCACCAGGCGTGTCGCTTGCACGTGAAACACAGGTAGTGTGACACGCGGCTCTTCAGAGAGAGCAGAACTGAGCACTGCAACGCACTACCCGGTCCGGAGACCCCGTAGGCAGCAGTGCGCCCGTTCCCACAACTGAACAACTGAACAACTGTACAGGACCACTGTGCGGTAGTAGCTTTCTCGCTCTTACTAACTACGACCAGGCAGGCAGTGGTCCACAAGAAAACCTAGATGCTCAAACAAAACTTGACTTGACTTTGCGGCGAGGTGACCTCAGCCAGTGTGGAAAAAGCAGACCTGCAGACGTATGCCCGCGAAGGCTGCTCACACAAGTCTTGTCTGCACGGCATACCGAGGTGGCCTCTGGTATGAATTGCATAGCACTCACAGCTTCGTAGGAAGCCCAGAAACGCCAAAGCCAAGCAGCGTTCACGCTCTTACTAACTGCAGCTGTGTAGCGCAAAGGACTCCCTCTGAGCAATCTGCAAAAGGAGCTCACTGCAACGGGAGCTCAACTGTTGTAGAGCAACACAAGCAAAATGAGCGCAACGCTGTTGTAGGAACATCTGCAGTGCGACTGTTCGGGCGCCGCAACCCGCGACATATAACCGTGTAGTTCGTCAGAGGGTGTAGTCGAAGTAAACTTGTAGTACGACTGCATGGGGATGTAGGTCGACAGAGCCCCAAACCCTCACCCCAGAGACTGCATCGGCCGCCTGTCTGCACAGCCCGAAAATGGTCCGAAGAAACAGGTGGTACCGAAAACATCTCTCCCGGACTTGGGACCGGGCAAGCTCGCACTGTGTAAGAGGTTCTCACCAAACGCAGCGCGCAGTGGTCTGTAGTAGCGAGGTAAACCTCAAGCATGCAGTTCGAGTGCACAGCATAGTCATCATAAGGTCTGCCAGGGGCTTTTGCGAGACATGTCACTTGCAGCATAAATCCAAAGACGACGCTGGCATACATATACTTCTCTCGGTTTGTCACTGGCCCCAAGATGTAGCCACTGGACCGTGCCACAGTGTCACAGAGCACACACCAAGCATCTGGGCTCAAGAAGGCCCTGCCAATGTTTGGGATTTGTTGCTGCTCACAATCTTTGCGTAGCGCCTCAAAGGCGTCTTGGCTCGAAAAAGCAGCGTGCTGAGGTGACCTCAGGATATAGCACTCCAGAAAAACCGAAAAGGCAGTGAAGAAACCATGCATGGAAAACCATGGCGCGCATGCGAGAGAACCTAGAAAACGCAATTGAGCCGGGGGCTTGTCAAGTAAAACTCTTTCGGACGCAGCGAGAGAGAGTCTCACCAGGCGTGTCGCCAACACATATGCACTATTGACACATGCGGCACTTCAAGAGTGCGATCTACTGCATCGCATTGCCCGTCCCAGAGGACCAACGGGCAGCAATGCGAGCGCAAAACTACAGGTGAAGAAGCATACCGAGGTGACCTCAGGCACGCGCTGTACAGTACAACTACAGACTGCCAGTGGTGGGGTGAAAAGGCAAAGCTAAACGAGGTGACCTCGCAAAGCTAGCAGTGAGGTGACCTCAACTTGCTACTGCCACAGGTAGTGCTTGGTAACACAGTAGGTAGGTGTTGCAAAACGTGTCTTCAACATCATGCTGCAGTTTAGGTGTTGACCCGTCATCATGAAGCCACAAATGATCTCCATGAACAGTGGCAGCCTGGTAATGCCCCGAAGTACTGTACACCCCTTTGTGTAAGATGAGAGACACCAGCCGATACTGCAGAAGTTGTATGGCTTGTCCAGCATCCGTAGTGTAAGTAGGGACAGAGAGGGTGCTACTGGTTTGAACTCGGCATTGGCTGCGTCTGCCATCTTCCCCGTCAAAGCGATTCAGCTGAATCAGCAGATAATGCGGCGCTTCGCTCAGGGCATGGACATGCTCCTGCGAGTGCCAATCGTCCAGGATGGTTTGCACAGAACAGTCTTCGGTGGGCAGTTCAGCAAGAAACAAGGGCCAAGTGTGGCCTGTATCCGTTACACGGCCTCCATCCGATGATCTGGCCTGCCATCGTCCCTGAAAGCAGCGATGCTGGAACACGTTCTTCGTGCTAAGGAAAGAACAGAACTCTACAACATCATGTTGCTGAGCTGGCCGCTGCCAGCCTCTGACAAGAGCACACCACGCAAAATCATCCCACAGCTGCCTGTTGGAATCGCGGAGCAGTCTGAGGAGAAATTGGTCTAAGGCTTTAGGAAACAATGGCTCTGCAGAAAGGAGTCGCAAGTGAAGCAGAAGCACTACAAGCGAATTTGCGTAACAGAAGTTTGATCGATTCAGGATACAGAGCGCCTTCAGCGCACAGTCTTGGCCAGGGCTTGCACCAGCGAGGATCGCTGGATTTTGTCGTGGCGGAAGTTTCCTGCCACTAGACGCATGACGCCGCTGTGCGTGAGCCTGTCGAACAGGCTGTAGGCGTTCTGTGCCACCTGGCCTCTGTTCGAGATCTCGAGCATGAACGGCAGAGCTGCACCGGTCTTATCGTTCGAAGATCGTGCTTTGTGTTTTGATGTCTATCATGTTTGAACCTTCGGGGATAAATGCTTGCACTCGCACATGCCACATGCAAGCAGTTCAAAGCTCGACGCTATTTTCACACGTTGGGGTAGCAAGTACCGCACACGGCAGAAAACTTCGAACTGTCGGTCCTGTGAGACACAAGACTCTTTTCGTCCCCCTCCGAAAGGAGAACTAGCCACTCTCAAGCCGTGCACGGCTCACAAACTGAACCTTAGTGAACGGCCTGCCAGTCGAAGACGAGCAAGACCGAGTAACTGCGAAGCAGGGAGCCAAGACCCGAACCAGGTCTTATGCATAAAGCATACCTGAGTGTCCTCAAACTGAGGTCCAAAGCTTCCTGAGGTAGCACAACACTGATGCAATCTCTGCACTTTCCACGAATCAATTAGGGTGGAGAGGGTGGGTATTTCAAATAAAACTCTCGCCCGATTCAAGGGCTTCCTGCCCCTTCGAGAGGTCAAGCTGCAACGGACGAATGTGTTCTCCAACTTGTTTACAGCATATATGAAAAGGGTTCATAAAAAGGCAATGTAAAGGAAAAGCCCTAAAACAACAAATCAAAATTGGACTCAGTTCTCTGAGCCATTTTGTCATATTGTTTTTCTTCAAACGATAAAGCCATATCTTCTGCAAGTGTTCAAAGAATGTAACACTTCGGCCGTGTGCTTTCGGGAGGCGTGGAAGCGGTGAACCACTCTGGGGATCAGGATGAACTCCTGAAGCTCCCGTACCAGCTGGAGCGCATCCTTTCTGGGAATGGCGAGCCTCCCCTCCTTGACTTGGTAGCTCTTCGCCTTGGCGTCGTACTCCAAGTAGTTGAAGCAATCGGCCTCCGAGAGGAGCTTGCTTTCCTTGGCCACTTTGCGAAGCTCCTCGTCCGTGCCCAGCTTCTCGATGCGTAGCTCGATCTGCTTGAGTAGGCATCCCAGAAGCACGACTCTCAAGGGCAGCCCCGGAGAGGCAGGGTCCTTCGCTTTCTTCTCGCTCCAAGTCTGACCGAGAGCGTACAGCTGAGGTAGGATGGCCAGGGGAGCGGAGGTCTCCATGAAGAGGATGTATGCACTGTCCTGCCGAAAGAGCTGCAGTTGATCCTCCTGGCGGATGACCACTGTGGTCAGCATCCGGACTATGCTCTTCAGATCCTTGGGGGTGGTGGTCGTCTCCTCGGTCTTCTCGGTCTTCTCGTTGGTGTCGCGATTCACTTTGGGCTGATTGCCCCTTCCTTTTCCCCCTTTGTCTCCTTTGTTGGTCTTCGGTGCCCTGGTTGCTCGACTGGGCTCCTCCTCCTCCCTGGGCTCGTCTCGCTCTCGCTTCTGAGCTGACTCCGTGAAGGACTTGGGAAGGCCCTCCATCAACTCGTTCCACTGGTCCATGTCCTTGCGACCCACCTCCAGCTCCGACAGCCTGGGCAGAATCAACAGCGTAAGGTGGGCAATGCTTTAGGATTGCGGCTGTCAGAAAGACCGGGCAGCCGGCAAGTCCCCTGTCATGCTGTGTCGCACAGTAGGGGCAGGTACTCCACCCAACTTTGACGAGCTTGAGCCGGTCTTTCAGGCTGGCAACGTGTTTCTTCACCGGTGGGTGTTGCTGATTCATGTGTGAAGCAAGAAAGCGCGTCTGGGTGACCCAGATACCGCAGATCGGGCAGTAGTGAGCACGCCCTTTGCGATGCACAAGTTCCGCAACCTGGGGGAGTGGCAATGCAGCAGCTTGTTCAAGAAGGGCCACATCCTCAGCAAGTGGGAGGGGCTCAGGTGGGAGCTCCTGCAAGTGTTTGGGCTGCTCAGCACCCTGATGCAACACCGGACAGCATTTACGATTGTGATGTGACATGAACGCCGGCCAAGCCGCGAACTTGTGACCACACATGCGGCATGTGGGCATGCCATCCACACAGTATTTGAGGTGATCATCAGATCTAGTTCGCATGGCTTGCTTGTGGTTATGCTGTTCCTCAACAGTTCGGGGTGCATGAACCGTAGTATGATGATGCTTGAGCATGGCAGGGTTCTGAAAAGTGGCATGGCAAATCTCACAAGTGACTGGTGCTTGCTCAGTGTGGCGTAGGACCATCGGTGGCTGCTCCAGCTCAGGTGTGAGAGGAGCGTCCACTAGGCGGGACCAGCGTCTGGCAACAGCATCAGAGTACGGAAGAAACTGGTTTGTTCGGGCCTTGTCAACGCGCTGACGAGTGCGCTCATCAACCTGCAGCATTGGGTCATCAATACCATACTTACCTAAGACTTCGACGTTGGTGTGGCCTGTGACGTGGGAGTGGTCACCCACAACCATGCGGAGCTGCCGTATAACAGTGGCTCGAAATTTGGCTTGACCCTCAGCACTGAGCCCTATGCTGGTAAGACCATAAGTGGCAGTAGCCAAGCAGACGCTGTTGTAGAGGCGCAGACGCAGACGCACTGGCAGAGAGCGGTTTTTCAAGGCCTTGGTGAGCCGGTTGAAAGCGACCCACGACTGTTGCACCCGGTACTTAAGGCTTAGGGCTTCGTAGTTTTTGTAGCTGAGAAACATGCCGAGGTACTTGTGGGAGTCTACCAGAGGCAGACGAATTTCCTCACCCGAGTCCAAGGCCACACGAAAGTAGCGCTTGTGCTGAAGTTTTGTCAGGAAGGGCCTGGTGACATCATGAACGCGGCTGCCCCACCACGATCGGAGGATGACAGTTTTGTTGACACTGATGCACATGCCCTCACGCCTGAGTAAGGTGAGAACAGCAGCAATTTCCTGGGGAATGCAACGAAAAGCTAACTCACCTAAGAACTCCCACTGCAGCAGAAGATCATCTGCGAAGTAAGTCCTGAGTGAGCTCGGTGCCACGAGCTGCAGTTTCTTCGCCAGGTGGAGAGAGAAAAGCGTCCAGATTGTCGGAGACATACCACAACCCTGACGGGTACCCTGCTGAGGCTCAACACTCACAGTTTCCCCGCTAAGTGTAAAAGTGTATCTTGCATGCTCATGAAGGAAAAGTATCAAGGATATAAGGTCAGCGGGTACACCGAACTCAACGAGGCACTCTTCCAGGGTGGCCCATGGTACTGAATCAAACGTGCGTTCCAAATCCAATGATAAGGTCAGACCACCTCGGCACGTATCAGGTCGAGCACCGGCTTTGCGCGTCCAAATCGTGGTGCCACTGGCCTTGCGGGCAGCACGAACATCATCACAGTGAGCGTAAGCTCTGTCCAGAGCATCAGCCGCCTGCCGCGCAGGCAGGTAGGCATATTGCTCCATGGACTCCGCTGCAGCTAGCACCATAGGGCGCAGTCGTTGCGCCACGAGTTGCGCGAGAACCTTAGCATATGGCGGGAGAAGCGAGATGGGCCGGTAGGACGCTGGATCAGAGAGAGCCTTGTTAGGCTTCGGGAGAAGGGCCACCGAAACGTCATGCCAATGGGTGACGTAAACCTCGCCCGAATAAGTTCGGGTGCACGAACGAACGTGGGCGAAGAACGGACGGACCAGGCAGGAGGGCCGGACGGACGCACAAGCACGCAAGCGTAGAAACGCGCAGGCGCCAGAGCGGGGCAGGTGCAAAGGTGTGCGGCAGGGCCTTACTAGATAGCATCAGCAATCTCATCAATCGTGACATTGAATGAAAATCGCCGAACTGTGGTACAGCCGGGAGCATGACCTGCACTGTGATCCTTGCGAGGCGGCGATTTGGTCTCGGCGAGCTGGTTGGGGCCCTCACTTCGACGCACCTGCCACCCAGCATCATGAGCATCAGGCGGGTTTTGGGCAGCCGAAAGGTATTTTGCCGGGTCTTGCCAAGACCCGGCAAAATAGTCTTGTCCAGCCAAGTGGGGCCAAGGGGGCGGCTCACAGTACCCCGGCTGTCTGTCAGGGGCTGCAGCGAGCTCCGAAGAGACCTGAACAGATCCTGGAGGCCCGGGCGCTGTTAAGGCCGGGGCTGGCACTTTCAAGGGGAGCACCTGCCTCATTTGATCCGTGACTGAAAGATGTTGCGAGGCGCAGGCCTCTGTTGAAGCTAGCTGCGAAGCACTGGGCAACGGGTTGGCAGCATAGACCCGTTTAAAGTGACCCTGAATGAATTGCAGTTGGCCTTTTGTACTGAGGAGCTCGCCATCCGGCCCACGGAGTTGCATGCGCCTCCGAGGCGTTTTAGGAGCAATGCGTCGCATAATGCGGTGTAAGCCAGTCAAACTCTGCCCACCAGCAGTGGCCTCATCGATAAGTTGTTCAACTTGCTTGCGTTTTTGCTGTTTGCAGTGTTTCTGCAGATGTTTGCTCGCAGAGGTGACAGCCACCTGCGTCCGCCACTGTGCAAAGAGGGCAGCACATACTCTAAAGCTAGCACCGTGCAACCCTCGGGGACCCAGACAAGTCCGCACCTGGTCGGCGGCATGCCGCACCATTTGCCTCTTATCCCAAAGATCACGGATGAGCATGGTGGTGTTGGTCCCGCCTAAACCATTATCACGATGTTGCGGCTTGGGCGGCTTCGGCCGGATCTGACACCAAGCTTGCAGTAGCTGCTGATTAACTGTGGCACAGTTGCCCTCAGCCTGTAGTCGTTGCATCTCCTGTTGGAACTGAACAGCAAGGGCGGGGTCCGCCTCCAGGGCGGTTTTGACAGACTGCAGAGTCACCTTGATTGGCTGGGGCTCGCGCCAGTTGTGCCGACGCGCAGCCGGGAAGGTGATGAAGAGCGGAAAATGAAACATGCCGCTCACTGGCACAAAAGGCAGATCGGGCTTGATGCATACGCTGCGTGAGACAGCAGTGACCTGGCTTCGGCGCATAAGGAAGTAGTCCAGCTGGGTGTGGGTTCCATTGCTTTGCCTGAAGGTGCCAGCTCTAGATCCGCCAGACTTCCAAGTATTCACAGCCACGAGCTCATGATCACGCAAGACCTGTTGAATGCGTCCAATGTCTTTGGCAGCATGCTGGCCAGTAGTGACACCTCGTCCCACCAGTGCACCTTCCGGGCGGAGTGTACAATTGAGATCGCCTGCGATCAGAAGCTGATGCCTGAACGGTATGGTGGTGATCCACCTGTCGACAGCTGTCCAGATCTCATACCGTTTAGCAAGCAGCGTGGCCTCTGGGGTCGCGCCTGGCTCTTCATGACATTGCGCCCGGACGTTCCAGGCATGCTGGTAAACCAGCAACACATCTACGGGTGTGGCGGTATGTGCAAGTCTGACGTGCAGGAGTCGGCCGGGAACGGCCTCCTGAATTTGAATCTGGTCGGCACGACAGAGGGATTTCCTGACCAGGGCAAGGACCCCACCGTGCCAGGAGCCAGTACCACTGTTAATCACATGATGGGAGTCCTGGGTGTACTCACAGCTGAAACTCCAGTGACTTTCAGTGATCAGACAGATGTCAGGTGCCTCGGGAGTAGCCGCAATCCACTGACGGAGTTCAGCGAACCTGGCGGTGTTGAGGCCCCCGGCATTCCAAAGCATGATGCGAAGTGAGGGTGTGGCAGAAACATAGCCAGACCTGAAAGAGCGAGAGGTTGCATTAGGGACGGGGTTGGGACGGTATTGACAGTTGAGGGTGGTAGTGGTGTGGATGGCGCCTCTGTAGTTGGTATAACCATAACGGGCGGCACGATTCTGTGCTCTCTTAAAGGAGCGCTTAGCAGTAAAAGTGATAGGACAAATGGTCCCGCGACTCGTTCCGTGTTGGTTCGCTCTGTGAGGGATCGGCTGTATTACTGGTCGTACAGCTTCATGGGGTTGCTGGACAGCAGAGCCCCAAACCCTCACCCCAGAAGCCCTACAGACACAAGCAAGAAAAAGTATACTGGTTAACAGACCTTTGCGTGCGCTGCAGCAACTCCTCCCGGACTTGGGACCGGGCTGGCTTCGGTCAGAGGTAGCGAGAGCTCCTGATTTGCATAAAGAAAGGACCTGAGTGAGAACCCTGGCAGCGCAGACTACAGCAATCCCACTGACAAGGCCAACGGCTGGTTGCGCGGAGCCGGGGCAGCCGCTTGAGACATACACGGAGGTGAGCCTCCAGAGAATGAGCATGATAACACAGAAGCTGCCAAACAAGCATGAAGGTGGCAACGGCCGAAATAAAAGCTTTTGCTTTCGCTGGCGTCGCTGTCTGCGTTCATAACGTCTGCTCTGCGTCTGCATATAATCGGCACATCGCCTTAAGTACTGCAGACGTGACTCATCTTCCCGTTGGGAGCTCATTGAGCCATTGCTGCTGCTGGACTCATCGTCCGAGACATCCTGAACTGAAGGCAGGGACTGCATAGCGCCAGGAGTGCCAGCTGGATCCGCAGCTGAAGCGGAAGCTGAAGCCGAAGTCGAAGCAGAGGCCTCCATCACTTCAGCTGTTGCCTGCTGTGTGACCGGTGTTGCCCCGATGGCAGTCACCCTAGGGCGGCTAGCAGTAGCCACCAGCTGTCGCGGCTCTCCAGTGGCAGGAAGCAGTTCCGGCGAGGATGAAGAATCCGCATACTGGGTCCAGTGCCATGTCCAGGATCTGTGTCCAGTGGGCTTGGTCTGGACAGCAGTGTAGCCGTGATAATCCCTGACATCCTGCACTAGCTCTGGGCTGTCCTCCAAGTGCCCCTTGAGAGCCGGTGACTGATGCCGCAGCCTTTTTGGGGGAGGCGGTTGTGGAGGCAGTTCTCGTAGCCCAGACGTCCGATCAGGGCGAGAGCCGGAGTCAGAGCCAGTGCCCGGCACAGCAGCAGCCACAGCTGTATCAGTACCTGTATCGGCATCAGCAGCTGCATCAGCATCAACAGCTTGCTCGGTCGTGGCTGCTGCAAAGCGCTGAAGCGGCAAGCCTACAGGCGAGCTCTCCCCCCCATTTGCTGCGATTGTGGCCTCACGCTCCAATCGCCCGCCAGTGTCCGGGTCATCGGGCCGCCAGTAGCTAGGGTTCACCAACCCAGTCCGAAACCGAGACGGCGGACGAGCTCTCTGCCTCGTTTGCTTCGTTTTGGGGCCTGCAGACTGCTTGCCAGCTCGATCCATGCTATGCCTCGGAAGACTACTGCAGTAGCCACCAACTAAAGAGGCCCTAGTTGTGAGCAGCAGCGTCAACACAAAGCCGTGGTGCTGGTGAAGTGGCCAGGTTGCTACATGTACTGACAAAGCCCCTGGTGCGTCATCACTGAGAGCCCATCTGCAAGGCGCATGATAGCTGCAGGCAGCATAGCAACGACATCCGAACCAGCCACATAAATCCACGAAGGCACAGTTGAGGCTCGGACGATTGCGGTGACCGCAGGGCTGTGCTTGTGCCAAGCTGGGGCAGCCACGGTGACCGCGGAGCTGAATGAGGCTGTACAGACCTGAGAAGAACCACTGATACCAAGGTACACCATATACACTGTGTGCAGTCCAGTGCTTGCGTGAGTGCAGCAACATGCGGCTCAGCGAATGCAGGCATGGTCGATACTCGCGTGTTTCCCTTAGAAGCCACAGCTTGTCCAAGACTGCCACTCCTACCCGAGGTGACCTCAGGATGGAAAGCCTAGCATGACAACCCTGACAGGTGAGCAACACTCTTCTGCAACTGTGTGGTCTTAGTCCATCGTGTTGAGATCGAGGGATGTTCCTGTCAGTTTCTGGCTGGGTGCATCGCTTGTGAACCTCGTCTGCGCTACTTGCAGGGCACTCACACAAAGCTGATCGCGTAGCTGCTGCTTGGTACCTGAGCTCAGGACACTTGCCGAGCACTGAACGGAGACCACGAGAAGGCCACGAGTGGCAGGCCATTGGTCGACCAGCACGCTGTCTGACCCCACACTTTCCTGGAAACCACAGAAGGCAGATCGGGCGCCAGAGTGCAGTAGACCAAGCTCTGCGCTTAAGGCCGACCGTCAGCTTCGGCGGAGGTGAACCTCCAAAAGGAGGTGAGCCTCCCGCGGGCTCAACAATCTTATTGCGTCCTACCTTTCCCACAGAAGCGCTGGGGCCGCTTACAACATCTGGCACCTGATTGCTCAAATGTGAGAAGGGAACCCATACAAGCGCAGGGCCATAGCCAAGGGTGCCGCAGACGGCATGCGCATGCACAGCCAGCCAAGGAGGTGTCCTCCAGTGATTGCTGCACAGTCTGTAAGGAATGTCCCGAACACTGCTGTCCTGCACACCTGCTCGAGTCGAGAAGGCCCACACCCGCCCAGCAACACAGCTCAGTGCGAAGCAGGGCCACAGAAGGTGTCAACTGTTGCACATGCAAGAGGTTCGCGGCACTGCAGGTTCAATGCAAAATCTGGGTTGCTGTCTGTTGCATACCATGAAAAAGCGGTTCGCAGCAAAATCCACCAGAGCACAAGTCGTAAACATGGCATCCAGAAAATCATGCGACGTAGGTCCATGGCAGAAAACTACAGCGTTCGCTACGAAAATAAAACAGACTTGAGCCGGGGGCTTGTCAAGTAAAACACCCATGAGTAAACACATGAAACGTTCAACTTTACCTAACCCAAGACACGCTACGAGCTACAGAGCAAAGCAAGCAGAGAGACTATTTTTGACTTTGCCGGAAACGCGAGAAGTAAGTTGAAGCTGCAAGCCAAAGCTAAGCAAAGAAAAGCTACAACGAAGCTTCGAGAGTTTAGACCCACAGTTTAACCGGCAAAGTCAAAGTCTCGCCCTACAGTTCCCCAAAGTGAAAAGTGAGGGTTTGACGTGCTCGCTCAGTGAAACGCTGCACCCCGGGCAAACTTCCAGCGGGCGTAAAGCAGCACCATGCCTGACCAGAGAGCCAAAACGAAAGAAAAGCATGCACAGCAGATTGACCAACTTGCAAATGCACGCCGAATCTTTTCGCAGGAAGCAAAGTAGGTTTGTCACGCGTGCTGCTGGGTCCCAGACGCAAAGAAACGAAGGCCGAAGGCCGAAGCAAAGTATGAGTAAAGGCTGTACGCCTAAGTGTTGCTAGCATGGGAACCCAGCATTGACGCAATTAAGGGAGCTAAAGCAACCAGAAAAAGCACCATGAGGACGCGTCTGGTTGTAAAGCAAAGAACTACTGCCCGTACGCATTGCAGAAAGTATTTCTGCCCTGACGTCGACGATATTCGCCGTAACAAAGTCTGCAACGATGAACGTGGGCGTGCCTGGGGTCGAGTAAAGTAGCCCCACACGTGCCGGCACCATTACAACTGGTGCAGCTTTCGCGGCACCAAAATACTGTCGCCTTTTGTATCAACTGTGTCTCTCCCCATGACGTCGTAAAGATGCGCTGGTTGAGTGGTAAAGGACGGTCGGTAGGACGATCGGCAGGCCCTTCTCCACCCGTTGGCTCATCACGGCCTTCATTGGCGCGTGGTAAAGCATGTGCATCTGCCTCCGGCACCGTAGTCGCTGTGGAAGGTGATGGCGACTGTAAAGTAGGGGTAGAAGTCGTGGCAGTCGTGGAGGGCAAAGTAGTCGGATCGGCATCTGCAGAGGAACATCCAGCATCATCCTGAGGTTGCTGTAAAGGATCCGTGCCCCTCTGAGCACTTCGTAAAGAAATCCAAAACTCCATCCACTGCTGCCTGTCGTACCCCATCCAATCTTCAAAGAAAGCTGTCGCGTGCCACAACTCTTGCTCCGTGAGCTGCGCAAAGTTCCACGGCACATAGTTCATATCATCAGCCTCCTCCGTGGAGGGAGTGGGCAAAGTAGTGGTAGGCACGCGGCGGGGGGCAAAGAAGATGCAGCCTCCTCCGTAGGACCGGGCAAAGTGTCGGCCGGCTCGTCCGATGACGTTGGTAAAGTAGGTGCCGGCCTTGGGTCCCATTGGTCGAGATAGGAGGTGATTTCTGCCGGGACCCACGGTTCCTCATTCCATGAAGGCGCCGGTGTCGGGACCCAATCGTCCGACCCCCACTGGTGCAAAGGAACCACCCCGGGCAATCATCCTGCGGGTGGTGAGCATGTGCTGCACCCCGGGCAAACATCCTGCGGGCGTAAAGCAGCCAGACAAGTACCCCGGGCAAAGATCCTGCAGGCACTGTCACAAGTCATCATCTGACACATGTCTTTCCTGTGTCCCAGCTGGCAAAGAAAAATGAGAAGGCCACACCAGGACCTCTTTGCGAAAGAACCAGATGAATTTGAGAGAGCAATCCACCCGGTCTTCTTTTCGCCACTTCTCCGGTAAAGCATCCGTTTGATTCCACCTGCTCAAAAGATCCGCATCATCGTTCTTCTCACCAGCAATGTGAGAAATATCGAGTTCAATCCCTGAAGCTGCAGATATCAAGGAAAGTTTCTGAGCAAACGCTCCCAGCGGCCACTTGGCGGTGTAAAGTTTCGCTCCCAGTGCCTCCGTAGAGGCGTTGTCAGAAAAGGAGGGAAGGCGAACTGCCACACGACCTGAAGGAAACACTGACCTGTAAGCATGTACCAAAGCAATCTGGGCTAAAGTTTCATAACAGGCAATATCCTTATGTGCAGGTTGGCGGAGTTCCAGTCCAAGGACCGACAGATCTGAAAGTTGCCAGGCCTGCGAAAACCAGATGCATTTACCAGATGGAAAAGCAATGAATCCGCCAATCCCAACCAGCTCACCATCCGCTCTTGCATCTGCAAAGGCCTCAACCTGAAGTCGCAAAGGGACCGAAAGAGCAGTGTAAGGCTGAGGTCTTTGACACCATTCTTTCCAGAAGGAAAGGAAGGACCGCGATGCTGGTGATAAAGAACGTCGGTCAGATTTAGGATTGGTCACTCGCATCCAGATCCGATTGGAAGTGCGAACCTTGCAAAGATCCTGCTTGGTTTTTAGCTCCATGTGTCGTGCTTCCAGTAGTTTCCCCCCAAGGGGAACTTGAGTACCCGGGGGCACGGATGTAAAGCGAAGATCATCATCAAGGTAGTTAGCCAATGAAGGCCAGAGCCCCTGTGATACGCTATACTGGGAAGCCAAATGTCGATGCAAGTCTGAGAAAAGCGAAGCCAGCCAAGGCTTGCAGGACCTGTAAAGCTGGCAGAACCACTGCAGAAGTCCCACCAATTTGTGGAGTAGAGCGCTTGTAACTCTCCTGGACCGTGTAGCCTCCTTGATCAAGTTGAAAAGTTTATCAACCTTATCTTTCGGAATATGAAACGAGCCGCTGGTAAAGTTGAACGTCCAGCCAATCCAGGTGATGCAACTCCCCAGTTGTAGCTTGGCCCAACTCAACGGAACCCCGAATATGGAGGTAAAGCAAAGTAAGAGAGAGGCTGAATACAGGATGCATTCACGGTCCTGTATGAAAAGAAAATCGTCGACGTAACCCATGAGGGCATGGCGTACAAAGATCCAAAGATGCATGAGGCGTAAAAGCATTCCAGCCAGCCGTTGAAACCATAGCGCAGAAAAGTTTGCGCCGAATGGACAAACTCGATAGAAGAAAAGCTTATCGGCCTCACCATCCTGACCCGGTAAAGTGACACCAAGCAGCCCTTGGTCCGTCTCTTTGACCCGAACCGTTTTATGTGCCGCCTTGACATCAAGATGAAACCCTTCACAAAGGCCTGTATGATGACGTAAAGGAAAGCAATCTCGAACGTCTTGGAGACCTGGTAAAGTATAACGCTCCGGGATAGAACAGGCATCATTCGTGCCACATACGGTGGAATCGACCACCAGCCGTGGAGCTCTCGGAGGGGAAAGCACCAGAGACATTTTCCCGACTGCGACTCGCTCACCCCAGCGCTCTTGCGCCGCCTCTAAAGAAGGCATCTCAAACAACCATCCTTTCTGGACCTCAGCTTGCACTAGCTCCCGTAAAGTGTCCGGATCATTATTGGCACTCTGCCAATTGTCCTTGGCAATGGAAAGCTGGTGGTCAAGTTCCGGTGCCGACGGATGTGGTATGAACACCTTGGAAAGCGGGATGTCACTGTCGTAACCTGTGGGAACACCATCGATCAGGCACTGGCAAAGTGTATCGTCCTTGTCTTTGACAAACTGCGAAAAGAACTTCAAAGCATGCAGGGCATAAGGTTGGTGATCTGGAATCGTCCAGTCAACTACATGTGGTGATCCTTGCTCCGAGACCCAGGACTGGAAAAGCTGTCTGAGACGATGAATCTCACCTTCTTGAAAGAGAGGCTCCGAACTGTGCTGTAAAGCGTGGGCCTGGAGTCGTTGTGGGATCTTGTTCTCAAAGATCCACCGCCGAAGTTTAAACCTGAGATCGCAAAGTACATCCTGCACACCAGGTGGGGGCGTACTCCAATCAGGTACCGAGTAGATCCCAGCGCCGTCCTGGTTGGCGAAGGGTGGCTCGAATCTCTCTTTGACATGCCTCAGAAAAGGAATCTGGTCTAGCTGCAAATCTTTGGGTTCCGGGCTTCTGTGAGCGAAAAGGTGCAAAGAACCCTTGGCCACTGCGAGCACAAAGTCCGCACTCAATGAAGAGGAGTCGAACTCCCGATGGGCCTGCATTGAAGAACCCGTCGAGGATGTAGTGGCAAGAAACTGCAGAGATGAAAAGGATGCAGCTAGGAGCCCACAGCCTTCAAAGTTGCAACCAAACCGTTGTGGGTCCCAGAAAATAGCATCTGCACTCATCTGCTGCAAAAGAAAGATCACCGACGCGTGGGTCCAGACCGCAGAAGTAGAATGTTGAGAAAGCAGTACGTGAGAACCCGCCGCAAAGCATGCGTGTGCTATCTGAATCATGCGCTCAAAAAGAATCGATGAGAAGTCACTGGCTCGAAGCAGGATGTGCAAAAGGGCAACCTGCCCAGAGTGACAAACCCTGAGCAAGGCAAAGAAGAACTCATCTTGTAGAAGGTCACGTTCGGGGAAAACTTCGGGAGCGACCGAGAAAGTATCACAGCCAGCTCCAAGAAATGCTGCTGAAAGAGGGCGCCGGGCCCCCCCGTTGATGTCCAGGAAAAGGCCTGAGTCAGGTTCCGAGACCGAGCATGCAAAGTTCTGAGGAGCACTCTGTACCACGGGCTCCGGAAGGGTAGCACATGGTTGTGGAAAAGGAGCATCTCCTGTAGCATCTGCAGGCAAAGTAACTGGAACCAGGCCTTCCTTGCCTGCATAGTCCAGGCCCAGTCCCCCTCATGCACCTGCCTTTTGTGCATGCTGAAAAGCCGGATGCTTCTGCAGGCAAATCTTACCATTCTCCAGGATCACGGGGCAAAGGTGCTCAAACTTGCAATTGGTGGAGGTGCAACCTTTGTGGGTACTGTATGCCATGCAAAGCACCTTGGTCTCTCCATTGATCTTCGCCTTGTTTGCCCACTCAAAGGCATGTGTACCTTTGGTAAAGGTAGACTTACCCTTTCCTGGAGTCGAGCCACCTTTGCCCCCCGTGGCCTTGCCCCCCTTATGAGGGTGACCCTTCCAGGGCTCCTTGCCGCCCTTGCCGTCACCTTTCTTGCCTTTAAAAGGAGCCAGCCGGGGAGCAAGCAAAGCAACCAACTCGGCACGAACATCAGTGAACTCATGCAAAGCATCGTCCACCGACCAGCCTTCCTGCCTGAGCTGACCGACGACCTCCCAACATCGACGATCTGCGGCTTCGCACTCCTGTGCGTTTGGTGGGCGCAAAGTTGGGTCTGTTCTCGCCTGAACATGTTTCAGGAACTTGCGCTCATAGGAACGTAAAGTAGCAAGGTGGGCAATGTCCGCGAGTGCGAGGGCGTTGGAATGTATGGAAAGTAAATTGCTTATTCCATATAGTCCCATATTCTCCGCAACGTTACGCGAGGGCACGTCATCGTAAAGAACGTCGGTAAAGTTCTCAAATCTCGCCAACTTTCTGGGCCGAGCCGAGTTGTAATCTTCTTCTTGTTGTTTCGAAAGCCTGTGTTTCCATGAGATGAACTTCCAGTCAGTCGTGCCTTTCAGCCGGTAAGCAAGGGAAAGCAATCGCGCACTCGGAAAGTTGGTATCGTCGAGAACTTCAGAGGGATAGGCTTTCTCAAAATCCCGCTTCAACTGTAAAGTAGTTTCAGTGGAGAGCTTGGGAGGAAAGGTCTCTGCCCACGAGGAATGCAAAGTACTCGCAGAGGTATCTGAGGCCACTGACGGTAAAGTGCATATTTTGTGAGCCTGCACCCACAGCATCCTGAGAACAGGAAGCTCGTCAGCATCAGGTGACCAGCCTTTGGATGCCAATAAAGCATCGAGACCTTCCAGGTTCACAGTGCCAAGGCCAAACGAAAGCAATGTTGAATCTCCAAGGGATGCTGCTGACACTGGAATGGAAAGCTGCAAAGCTGTGGCCAACTGCTGCACTGTAGATCGCGAGGATAGCGAATCCATGACCTCCGCCTCGGTACGCAAAGGAGTAGGATCCTCTGCCGTTGCCGCGTCCAGCTCATCGGAGGGCTCTGGTAAAGTAGAGCACACCTCCTGGGCCGGTGTTGACACACGTTCTTGTAAAGCTGTGCGCCAAAACTCGAACCATTCTCCACGAGAGTAACCTCCTCGTCCCGAAAAGGATTCAGAGGCGTCCCACAGCTCCCAAGCGGAAAGATTCTCGAAGTTCACTGGGAAGATGTCACCCTCAGCCATGCTGTAAAGAAAAGCGAGGGAGGCTACAAAGGGACGCACGCAATGTCTCGGGCAAAGCTCTGCATCCAAGTGTAAGCTGCACAAGCCCAACATGTGAGAAGCATGAAGCAAAGCTGCACGCAGAAGCATGTACCTCTCGACCATGACGAACGCAAAACGAAAGGTAAAGCTTTGCCCGTAGCGTAGTGAATTTGAAGCGAATTTGAACAGAATTTGAGTGGAATTTGAAGCGAATTTGAGTGGAATTTGAAGCGAATATCCTCTGAATTTGAATGGACTTTGACGCATACATACCGAACGCAAAGATAAAGCAAAGCAGACGCCGACGCACATTAGAGCGCAAGATGGACGCAAGCAAGGTGCACCCGATGCGATTGGTACTGATTCTGGCGCACATTAGGGCGCAAAAGCGACGCAAAAGATAAATCGGACGCACATTAGTGCGCACATTAGGGCGTAAAGATGACGCAACCGACGCGTGTGGCGTCCAATTGGGCGCACATTAGGACGCAAAAGCAACGCAAATGATCACCATTGGCGCACATTAGGGCGCAAAGTGGACGCAAGGATGACGCAAGTGACGCATTTAGCGCACATTAGGCGCACATGAGGACGCTATTACACCGCAGAAGCTGATTTGACGCAGATTAGGGCGCTAAAGCGACGCAAAGTACGAAATCGTGGCGTAACGCAAATGCAGTGCTAAACTTGTATGTAAAAAGCACTCATGCAGAAAAGTGAACTGTTCACGCAAGCTGTGCATCGGGCCTTGTACGCAAAGCAGTCGGGAATCCCCCGAACCGTTAGGACGCTAAAGCTGGAGCGAGCCGAGGCTGTGACAGGCGAGGCTGGCAGAGACAACCAAGGAGAAAGCACATGCACAGCCTTCACATGCACTTCCCGCCTGCACCTGAAAAAGGCTTTTTCCTAACAGCTCAAAGCTCCAAGCATGCCTTGTGTCTGCAAAGCTTCTTGCCTGTGGGTGCAAAATGCACCACTTGGAGGACACTGACTATACACCCACAAGCAGGTTTCAGGTGCACTCCTTGGAAAGTAGTGCAACGATCGAGCTCGGAGCAAACCACTGCCTTGTGAATAGTCTTGGCAGTGATGATGAAAAGAAGCTCATCCGGGGATCCTGGCTCACCTGACGAGTGCAAAGGAAGTGTGGCTGCCTTCTCTGGGGCCACAACATCACCAGGGTCCGATGCCGAGGTGAAAGTAGCACCTGCCAGATCCACATCAACATCGATGGCGGGACACAGCTGAGTGGTCTGCTCGAAAGTCGGTGGACCCCCTGGGATCGCAAAGCAGGGTTCGGCAAAGCTGACAAACCAAGATTCCAGTTCCGGTTCGTGTAAAGGAACTTGTCCTCCCCGGTGCTGAGGACACAAAGGTCTCCAACCTTGTCGAATCGCAAGCAAAAGCTCTTTCTGTAAAGTTAATGCACCAAAAACATCGTCTCTGCTGTAGAGGCGTGCGCTGCTATGTCTGTGGTGACCTTGCACAGCGCGCCGATCTTCGCTGATGCAAAGTTGGTTTGCCCATGACAACAGCGTGGTTTTACAGCTATGCAAAGTAAAATTTTGCACCTGAGCACCTGAAAGCTTGTTCCACCGCGATAAAAGGTGACGTAAAGTAGCAAGGCCCTCCCCATAGGTCATGGGAACGAACAGCTCATCGTCGCTCGCATGGAAAAGTAATGCATCCGGTTCCACGGGGCCCGTCACATTACCAATACGACACCATTCATTTTTCAGTAAAGCAAGCCATAGGGGGAACCATGGACCGACCAGACCCACTCCTATTACACCAAAAGGAGCACCACGCACTGAGGTCTTGGTCCGGAAAGAAATTCCACGGCCCACCTCGTGTTCGTAAAGTAAGGATCCCCACTTCACGTGCATGGCATCGCTGAACCGCAGAGAGCCCCAAATCATAACAAGGAGCGCCCCGATGTTCAATTGCAGATCAGGAAAAGCATTTGAGATCAAGCAAAACTCCAAATAAGCAACAAAATCCAGTGGCAAAGGCACGGACTCTCGACGATCAGCTTCGTTACGCTGGTGAGCCACTGAATGAAAGAGGCCTGTGTAAAGATCCGGAAAAGAAATGGTGGCCACCTTGACCATCCACCTCAAAGCCTTCAACGTATTGAGGGGAAAGCATGACGTGGGAACCTCTTCTTCATCCTCAGGGGACCTGTAAAGCTGTATCATCACATCATAGGCTTGTACCTGTGAGATCCGAGCTGCATCAAATCCCAGATCCTGAAGCAAGGCAAAGTATTGCAAGCAGCTCTGCACATACCTGACCAATGTAGTGTCGGCCACCGATGCAACCAGCTGAGAAAGCAAAGCTTCTGAGGATGCTGATTCCAGAATTTCCTGCAAGGCAGAGCTCAAAGGTGCAAGAAGCATGGCGCCACAAAAGGAGACCCTTGGTGCGAAGCTTCGCGTGCAAATCGTTCTGCAAAGTAACCCGTGCTGTCGAAGTCACTGGCCGGGCTGGCAAAGCGAACTTGCAAGGTAGTACCCTAGGTGGTTCTGGAGGAAATGCATAATCTGCTGTGGAAGCAAAAGAATCTGCAGCCTGAAGCAGATTGTCCACCAAAGAATCGCACTGAGCTGACGTGCCAGCCTCGTCCCACGTGCCTGAAAAGCAGAAAGCAGACGAGAGAGGCCTGGATTCTGAGGGGAAGACCGCATAATCGCGAGCAGAGCGAAAAATAGGTCTGGCTCTTGCATTCTGTGAAGACCGTAGTGTAAAAGCAGAACGCTGAGAGAAAACTGGTCGAGCTTTGGGCACATCGCCCCGTGACGGCGCCGTAGCTGGAGCAGACCTGTCCACAGGTGAAAAGCATGGTCGAGGCCGAGGCTTCCACTTAGGTGCTGCAGGCACCATCGGCGAAGTAGAAGCACCTGGGTTCCAGGATGATGGGACAGGCAAATCAAAAGCCGGAGTGGCCTCCACCATGGCAAAAGAACCATCACCTGACGAAAGCGTCAAAGCAGGGCTCGAGTCATCCTTACCCTCTTCACGCTCCATTGGAGCATCTTGTAAAGCAGCTTCTTCAGAATGTCGCCTGTAACGTTTCACACGAAAGCGGTTATCATCAGAAGCATCAGCCATGGTTCAACCGAGCGAATCCAGAAAAGAATCTGAGTCAGTATGTTCCGGACGACCTTCCAGAATTTGCAAACGTGCACTCAAAATATCGTTGTCTGTATGCAAAGCAGGCAGTCGTTGTTGAAAAATATGGTCCACCCTCTCGTGTACTTCACCCAAAGCTTCCAGAGTGTCTTCACGGAGTTGGACTAAAGCTGCAAAGAATTCTTCACGGATCGCTGCACTTTCGGTACTTGCTCGCTTGGTGGCACCTTCAAAGAGGCTCCAAAGACTGCTGTCAAAGTAAGTGCGATGCTCTTCCAGCTTGGCAAAGGAAGCTTGTCGTGAAGATTGAAGAGCGGAAAGTTGCTCCTCCAGTGCAGTGATCCTGTCGTTCAAAGTTGCCTCACACAAGGCAATATCAAACTGCCTGACAGGGCGGTCCAACCACTGTAAAGTTTGCTGAAGCTCTGCTGACTGCGGGGCAGGATCAGCCTCCGAGTCCATCAAAGGACGCAAAGAAGCTAAGATTGTTCAAAACTGCAAAAGTGACGCGTGCTGAAATGCAGGACTGCCACCTCGCACTGCCCGGCAAGGCTCACGTCTTAGTTGCTCGTGTTGCTGTTTCACTTTCGGGCATTGCATTTGTCAGGATCTCCGGAACGAGCTCGACACGGACCTGTTTTTGACCCAGCACTGCCCGGCCCTTCGCGATGCTGCCTCGCACTGCCCGGCAAGGACCTCCAGAACGAGCTCGGCACTGCTCCCAAGACCAGGCACTGCCCGGCCCTTCAGGTTTGGCCCGGCCCTGAATGCACTCACTCTGTCGGTTTGTCTGCCAGTGCCCTGCTCTGCTCAGTCGAGTTCACACCGCAAGCTGAACAGCATAGCACCGGCTCAACCAGCATCATGCCACATGTCCCGCAGCCTTTTTTCTCTCAAACGGCTCAAAATGAGGCGCCGCTGGGCGCGACAAAAACAGCATCGCATAGCCTCGGCACCAACCTCTCCGATTGAGGTGGAATCCCAGCCAGCATCGCCTCGCAGAAGCTTAACTGAAGATTTTGAAGCACATCTGGCTTCGCTGGCCTCCCAACCCGCATCGCCCTGCATTGAGGCTTTTGAAGAGCCTGCGCCAGCTCAGCCTTCGATTACACAGATTTTTGCAAGGCAACGACTGTTGCAATCACATCCCAAAACCTCGCCAGCAGCCAGGCACAGCTATGGCGATCTTCCCACAGTTGCCGACTTAGCAATCGGCCCAGGCACGCAGCGTGCATCGCCCAAGCGCAACGCTTTCTACCCACCGGTACCAAGCCCAGACCGGGCACTGCAGATTAACCCGCCACCCAAACGCCCCAGGCATGAACCCACACTACGCCTCCACCACCTCCTCCTGCACTACCGCGCAGGCTCGCATCCTCCGTGGCCAAGCAGCCAATTCTGCACAGCTCACACAAAAGCCCACCGGCCTCGCCTAGGCCACTGCCCTTGGCCCAAATTCCACTTGCACCTCCTAAGCCTCGTAGGGTAAAATTTAAGACCATGCGTAGCTCCCTGACCTCACGCATGCAAGTGTGTGGCACCCTTTGGCTCCAACTGGTCTACAAGCTCGGCTCTGCATCTTTGCTCCTCCAATCTGTCGAGGCCGCTAAACAGGCTTCAGAGCATATCCTGGCTGTCATCCGCAACAATACGCCAGGCACACTTGAAAGATATCTCCGCATTGCATCGCTTTTCATGGGATTCTTAGATAGCTCAGCAGTCACTTTCCTCGACGTAAGCCTGCACTGCCTCCTCGACTTCCTTGCCTTGGCCCGCGCCTCGCACAGCCAAGACTTGGACATCCATCGCATCAGCGCGTCATCCTCTATCAAAGCCCCTCGTTGGTTCGTTAAGCAAACGCAATGGCTCTGCCTTAGCAATGCACTAGAGAGCCCTGTCATCCGGGCATACTCGCTCAAAGGCACCGCCAAAGATCGACGCGAAGCACTGCCCATCCCTTGGGCCCTAATAGCCGCTTGGGAACAACGCGTATGCGATCCCAACACGGCCCTGACAACCATCGTCGTGCTGGGCGCTGCACTGCTGGCCACACACGCAAGCCTGCGTTTTGGCGACTTGCAACGCATCTACCTCACCAGCCTGGCACTTTCAACCACAGCCCTGCACGGCACGTGCTGGGCCACAAAGACAACAACACACGGCCAACCGTTTGCAGTCACGCTTTCGGGAATCACTGGACGGTGCACAGCAACCTGCTGGCCATTGCACTGGCTATCCGCACTGCACAAAATCGTCTCCTCTTCATCGGAGGATCCTCCAGATTTCCTTTGGTTCAGCACAGCACTTGTTCGAAGTTCGGTAGACGAAATCGCACCAGCATCTTACTGCACCGCACTGCTCAGCCAGCCGCGTTCATGATGTCACCAGGCCCTTTCTGACAAAACTTCAGCACAAGCGCTAGTTTCGTGTGGCCTTGAACTCGGATGAGGAAATTCGTCTGCCTCTAGTAGACTCCCACAAGTACCTCGGCATGTTTCTCAGCTACAAAAACTACGAAGCCCTAAGCCTTAAGTACCGGGTGCAACAGTCGTGGGTCGCTTTCAACCGGCTCACCAAGGCCTTGAAAAACCGCTCTCTGCCAGTGCGTCTGCGTCTGCGCCTCTACAACAGCGTCTGCTTGGCTACCACTTATGGTCTTACTAGCATAAGGCTCAGTGCTGAGAGTCAAGCCAAATTTCGAGTCACTGTTATACGGCAGCTCCGCATGGTTGTAGGTGACCACTCCCACGTTACAGGCCACACCAACGTCGAAGTCTTAGGTAAGTATGGTATTGATGATCCAATGCTGCAGGTTGATGAGCGCACTCGTCAGCGCGTTGACAAGGCCCGAACAAACCAGTTTCTTCCGTACTCTGATGCTGTTGCCAGACGCTGGTCCCGCCAAGTGGACGCTCCTCTCACACCTAAGCTGGAACAGCCACCGATGGTCCTACGCCACTGAGCAAGCACCAGTCACTTGTGAGATTTGCCATGCCACTTTTCAGAACCCTGCCATGCTCAAGCATCATCATAGTACTACGGTTCATGCACTCCGAACTGTTGAGGAACAGCATAACCACAAGCAAGCCATGCGAACTAGATCTGATGATCACCTCAAACACTGTGTGGATGGCATGCCCACATGCCGCATGTGTGGTCACAAGTTCGCGGCTTGGCGGGCGTTCATGTCACATCACAATCGTAAATGCTGTCCGGTGTTGCATTAGGGTGCTGAGCAGCCCAAACACTTGCAGGAGCTCCCACCTGAGCCCCTCCCACTTGCTGAGGATGTGGCCCTTCTTGAACAAGCTGCTGCATTGCCACTCCTCCAGGTTGCGGAACTTGTGCATCGCAAAGGACGTTCTCACTACTGCCCGATCTGCGGTATCTGGGTCACCCAGACGCGCTTTCTTGCTTCACACATGAATTAGCAACACCCACCGGTGAAGAAACACGTTGCCAGCCTGAAAGACCGGCTCAAGCTCGTCAAAGTTGGGTGGAGTACCTGCCCCTACTGTGCGACACAGCAGGCTGTTCCAGTCGAGCAACCAGGGCACCGAACCAACAAAAGAAAACAAAGGGGGAAAAGGAAGGGGCATGAGCCCAAAGTGAATCGGACACCAACGAGAAGACCGAAAAAAAAGACCGAGGAGACGACCACCACCCCCAAGGATCTGAAGAGCACAGTCCGGATGCTGACCACAGTGTTATCCGCCAGGAGGATCAACTGCAGCTCTTTTGGCAGGACAGTGCATACATCCTCTTCATGGAAACCTCCGCTCTGGCCATTCTACCTCAGCTGTACGCTCTTGGAGCCAGAAGAAAGCGAAGGACCCTGCCTCCGGAGCTGCCCTTGAGAGTCGTGCTTAGTCAAGAAGGAAGTATGCGCTCCAGCTGGTACAGGAGCTTCAAGAGTTCATTCTGATCTGCTTCACTTGCGACTTCTTTCTGCAGAGCCATTGTTTTCGACCTTGGACCAATTTCTCCTCAGACTGCTCCGCGATTCCAACAGGCAGCTGCAGGATGATTTGCGTGGTGTGCTTTTGCAGAGACTGGCAGCGGCCAGCTCAGCAACATGATGTTGTTGAGTTCTGTTCTTTAAGTACTCAGAACGTGTTCCAGCATCTCTGCTTTCAAAAAAGGGACGATGGCAGGCCAGATCATCGGATGAGCCGTGTAACGGATACAGACCACACTTGGCCCTTCTTTCTTGCTGAATCTGCTTGAGAAGGCATCCTAGTGGTGGCTCTTCGCCTTGGCGTCGTTC